CCGACTCCAGCTACATCGGCGACAACGACCCCAATGCCAACCACGCCGAACCCGACGCCGGCATCGAGCGTGACAATGACTCCGAAGACACCATCGCCCAACCCGACGCCGGAGGCTAGTGTATCTACAACGCAGAGACCTATCACGCCCAACCCGACGCCGGCTGCATCGGTGACAACGACTGCAATGCCGACCACGCCGAACCCGACGCCGGCATCTAGCGTGACAACGACTCCGAAACCTACCAAGCAAAATACTACAACTGTAGTTTGTCGAATTTGTCGAAAGCTGTGATGCGCAAACAACTACTATTGTAATATTAAACCCTGTAGCAGTACTATTTCTAGCTAGACACAATTCTGTAAAAAAAGAAATTACTACCGGTAATAGTAGATTGTGCTCTCAGGTAGTAATTTAGTGGGCTATAGCGTTAAATACCTGTGCTTTCAAAACCAAAATGTTCAACTTTTGAGCACAAAACCTTTGGTTTGCAAGAAAGAAACGGGTACATATCGGCAATGAACAAGAATTATAATTGTGGAAGAGGAACATCTAGATACCAAATCTTTTTTAATACTACGTAGTATGTACCAATTTATTTTTTCAAGCACTGGAAGCCTATTCGCCAGTTTTTTCGGTTGCCAACGACGAATACCTGTGCAGCCTTCTTCCTCGTCCTCTGTTTTTTACCGGGTTTATTGTGGGATGGGGGGGGGTTGAATGGTGGACCTAAAAGCCACAGCGATAATACCGCTGGCTGAGGCGGCAATATCAGAAGGGGAGTGAAGTCGAGCTACAAAGTCGAAGATTTTAGGATTCGAGATTTTATTAAAACTTATAAGTACAGTAGCTCAATTATGCTACACTACGTAGTTTTATTATTTCAAGTACTGTTTTAGCACACACTTTTGTGCCTTTTAAAGAAATGCTACTATTATTTGAACGAAAAAGCACTACTATTTGCAATCTACTAATGACTGCTACAGAACACTAGTAGTACTGTTGATGCTACATGATCTTACTCCCAGATTTGCTTGCGCATGTATAATACATTGTATTAGTATTGTTGAATCAACAGTGTTGATGCTACATTATCTTACTTCCTAATTTGCTTGCGCTTGCCCGTCCTGGTTAACGAAGGCTGTCGGACCTCTCCGTTGCTGTAGCTCCGCGACGTCTTGTCCTCTAAACCTATATCGAAGCTCCAGCTTCCACTTAGGACTATTCGCTGTAGCAGCTTCAGCTCTTTCGCTATCTTGAAGCGGCATAATTTTTGTAACACGCCACGTCACCAATCAGACACTCCTCGGAAATCCTTGCTCCGTCGAATACGGCGCATAACTCGCGCGAATCCCAAAGTAATCGTGCAAACACCTCGAGAAAGTCTACTTCAAAGTCGAACGAAACGACGTAGTGACTCTGCGTGTTGAAGGTGAAGTCGATCCTCCCAACACCATTGCACACACGCCCCAGCAGCTTCGCCGTGATGCGTGGGTATTGACGCAGTACTTTAGGGAACATGACCTCCAGAGTGTCTCGCGTTACCACGTGCCTATAACTGGCGTAGGACGTCACAATCGTCCGTCCTTCCGCCCGATACAACTTGAGACCGCAAGTAGTGAAATTCGAGCTCCGAAAGATCTTTCGTGTACTGTTCCCCATTGATGCAGCATCACTCCACGTCCGTTGAAGTCACCGATACGCAGGTTCTCGTCCATGACTTGGATAACGAATTGGTTAGGGTCAAGCAAGGCGCCCGGGTGATAACCGTTCTCAAACACGCGGTGGTACTCTTGCACTGTCTTGACGTAGTAGCCATCCAGTGCATCCCGACGATTGAAAGTCCGTGCACTAAGTATTTGCTGGTATTCAGTCAGTCGTTGGATTTCCTGTCGAAGATCCATGACGTCCAGCTCCAGGTTATAAAGCTGCGAGGCTTGAGAATCTCGCGTCCGCCCCTTGAGCTTTTTGCGTTGATCGGGAGCTCTTCTCGCAGCGGCGAGTGCTGCGACGGCAGGAACACGCGGAGCTAGCACGGGTCGATACCGTACTGGTGTTACGCCAAAGGTTTCGGAAACCGAAATGTTCGTGTTCCTTGTTGTCGGGCGAGATATTGTGAATGTCTGGCGAATTCACAACTGACTGAGTCATGTGAATATTTGTCGCCGGTCGGTCGAGTTGCTATTCGATTGTTGGCTTCCGGCCGTTTTTTTGTTTCGCTCATTCACCACTACAGTTTAAAGTTTGCGGAGGATTTTTTTATGGGGGTGTCCAGAAACCCTACTACTAATAAACGCCCGCTTTTCTGCAGTTGAAACGTACCTTGTACAAAAAGTTGAAACTTAACCAAAATACCAAATACTTTTGGCGCAATCTTCCTGGACTCTCCCTTTTCTAATCCGGGTCGTAAACTTATTCAATTTGGCAGCTTATTTAGTCGGTCAATAAAAGGAGAAGTATTTTTGCTGTTGGTTGTCAATGAGAACCAGCTGTTCGTTTTTTTATTGGGAGGCATAGGTTATCCATTTTTCCCGGTAGGCCTAACCTACCCATTGAAATAAAGCCCACAAAAAGAACCGGAGGCAGAAAGTACTCCTATTTTCCTAATTTTCCATTTTCCAAATTTAAAAGGGAGGCAGTGAGAAAATAATATAGAAGGCCTTGGTGGCAAGGTTTTTTTTTTTTAAATTTA